AGGAGTCACTTAGCACTAAAGTTTAATGATATTTTTCTTTACTTATATGTGAGAAGTCTTAGGTTCAATTCTCGCTAACGCCAAATTTGAACCATATAATTGCTAGTCTATTGTTAGGCTCGGCCTACTCCCTCACTTCCTTGTAGATAATATGGTTCGTTCAAAAAAATAAAAAGGCACCAAGGGGAAAGGGTTCAAACTTTTGTCTGCATATAAAATAATTCTCAAACAAATAACAAATTAACACAAAATTAATAACCACAAGAGGTTCTTTTAAGAGATTAATTACCAAGAGGACTGCCTTGATGTTGTTGTGGCCAAGATGAGAAGCTCCAAACTCACTTTGCTCCTTCACTATCTTAAGCAGAACGTCAACTATATCTTCATGAGCTTGTTCGTCGTCAACTCTCCTCCCAGGTTTCAGATGATCATCAATCACCTGCTGGAAAAAACCATCCAACTCCTTGGAAATCCTATCGAACTCCTTGTGCACACCGGAAACCTTATCGATAACCCACCCCATCCAAGACGGAAAGCAGTCAGCCCCGGACATCCCTCCGAGCATGGCCTCAGTATCCTGAATCAACTCATCAATATTTTTAGCATGCTCAAATTTACTCCCTTGGAAACTTGTCCCGTACGCAATCCTAAAAATAATACTAGCCGTGAGAGCAAACAACTTTTCCGTGAGATCAACAGGAGCACCAGAAGATGAAGAGGCAGATATTGAATGGACCATTTCATCTACTTCTTCTTCCCTGATTGACCTGTATGACTGGACCCTCTTCACGCTGAAAAGCTCGAGCACGCATATTTTTCTTATCTCTCTCCAGTAATCGCCATAGGGAGAAAAGGCCATGTCAAGATAGTTGTACGTGAGCCTGCGGGCTCCGGCCGAGGAGGGTCTGCTGCAGCAGTGGAGGTCGTTGGTTTTTAATGCATCTTTGGCTGCTTCGGCGGAAGAGATGACGAGGGTGGGGACACGGCCGAGGTGGAGGAGCATGACTGGTCCGTACTTTATGGAGAGTTGGTGGAGAGATTGGTGAGGTGGGGTGCCGAGTTGATGCAAGTTGCCTATGAGGGGGAGCTTGGGGGGGCTTGGTGGGAGGGTCTTTTGCTGTGGGTTCTTATAGACATTTTTCCTCTTTTGGAGTAGAAGAAATAGAGGGAGAAGAAGGAGAAATGGAAGGCATATGAGCAAGGAGGTGATGATAGCCATTGGAGGTTCTATCAATGATATTTTTTTTTTTTTTTTGAGATTTTGTCCATCATATATAAAGCTCTGGTGATCTTAATATCTAGCTATAAGCGACTTTGGAAACAAACGACGAAGTAGTATTTCAACATCGATGAAAATTATCACTCATGTAAATTGTCGTAGGCAAGGTTTTAAAAGACACTAGGCGTTAGTCAGACGGTGGGCTGGGATCTAGCGCTTCGACGGCTAGGTAGGGTCTTGGCGGGCACCTAGGCGGACTAGGCAGATTTAATTAAATTTATTATATTTCGTGGAAATAAGTGTTTGTTTATACTCAAAATATATATAATTTCATCATAACCTATAAAATAGAATGACAAATATATTATGAGCTATTGGAACATAATGAAAACATAGGGAACAAGCATATAATGCGCGTTCATTTAGGTATTCAGCAAATCTCTTACAATTTATTGAAAAAAAATAAAATGCAAAATGAAAGTTATCTAGTTTCTGTCTAAGTGTGCGGATGCCTAGGCGATCTAGATGGGCGCCTCAGTAGGTCTAGGCGCCCTTTCTTAACTTTCGAAAGCCTAAATATTAATCAGGGCGGTGGCCAGCCGCCTAATGCCTAGGCGGGGCCTAGGCGACGCTAGGTGGGGATTTTTAGAACAGTGGTCGTGGGTAACAATTTGTAAGGGCCTTAAAGTTCAATGCCCTTTTTAATTTGTTTAGTTTTAGAGGACAATTATTATTTTTAATTTTTTTAAACAAACAATATTATCTACACTAAGAAGAGGGGGAGAGGGGCTTAGCCTGATAGTGGGCTAGCAATAATATAGTTCAAATTCACCTTTGATGAGAATCAAACCTAAGACCTCTCACTTACAAGTAAAGAGGAATACAATTAGACCGTAGTACTGAGTGTTTATAAATCATCTTCTACTGAGCTAACTAAATACGGAAAGACAAGTGGACTTTTACCATAATGGTGAAAATGTGTTAAGTCTTTGCATGATAGTGTGGGTTTAAATCCCATAAATGACTAATCTAACATTTAATCTAACCAAATTTATCGTTTGACAAAACAAAAAATACGAAAAGAAAGAAACAAGTGATAAAACTTTTATGTCTATCACAAATCCTCTGATATTGAACTTCATGAGTAGTCATAGTTTCATTTGAAACAACCTTAATTTGCAAAGATAATAAATGGCCTTCGTTATCATGAAAGGACGGTTTGGTACTGGTTTAATTTAGCAGTTTAAGTACTGGTTTGGTACTAAGGTACTTTTATAAAAAGTGGGTATAAAAAAAAGTTGAGCTCAAAAAGGTATTTGGTAAACACTTAAAAACAACTTATTTTCATAGTTTTGGGTGAAAAAAAAAACTGAAAACATGAAGCAGCAAAAATGAGCTTATTCTCACAACACAGCAAAAACAGTTTTTTTTCAAAACACATCAATACCAAACAAAATCCTTCGATTAATTAAATTTATGTGGAAAAATCTCCAGAAATAAGAAAACACATATGGGTGACACATCTATCTTTTTCTCTCCTTTTCTCTCTCATTCTATTGTTATATATAAGCGCAAACAACTTTTTAGTTATGTCTCTAGCCCTCTAGATTTTATTTTGACTAACTTATGATAGTACCGATATTGATCGGTCGATGGATAGCAATTCATATCCTTCAATTAATTAGATTCATGTGGAGAAATCTCAAAAAAAAAAAAAAAAAAAAAAACTCACAACAGATGCAAGATACATCTCTCTTCCTCTCTCTCAACCATATTGTTTCATATGGGCGCAAACTACATTTTATTTATGTATGTAGTCTACTGGATCTTGTTTTGACAAACTCATGATAGCATTCATATTGATCGGTTAATGGATAAGCATTATGCATGCTGCTGGCGCAAACAACTTTCTATATATGTTTATAGTCCAGTGAATCTTGTTTTGACAAACTCATGATAATGCTCTTATATATTGATCGGTTACTAGATAAGCATTATGCATGTTACTAGCGCAAACAACTTTTTATTTATATTTGTAGTCTATTGAATCTTGTTTTGACAAACTCATGATAGTATTCCTATATATTGATGGGTTGATGGATAAGCATTATGCGTGCTGCTGGTGCAAACAATTTTTTATTTATGTCTCCATTCCACTGAATCATGTTTTGACAAACGCAAAATAATATCTTAATCGGTTAATGGATAAGCATTATGCATACGGTTGGGGCAAACAACTTTCTATTTATGTATGTAGTATGCTAGATTTTATTTTGACAAGCTCATGATAGTACTCTCAACGATTGATTGATGGTTAAGCATTATGCATGCTAATGGGCACAAACAACTTTCTATTTTGTGTCTCCAATTCCCTGAATCAATTCTGTTTTAACAAACTCATAATATTACTCTTATTAATATGTATATGGATAAGGATTATACATGCGCGGCCAGGAAGAAAAATCCGGCAAATATATACCAGCCAACTTATCAGGCAGCTAACAGAACTCCCTGTGCTTTCATGGAATGAAAGTTGAAACCTATCCATCATATATGAGCATTCAATCAAAAACTTCATGCCAGTGTTAGCTGCAACGGTTCCAATTAATGTAACATGTCACAGATAATACAAAAGAGAGATTTGGAGTTTTATAAAGTTAGTAATTAGGTCGGCCAATAAAATTATGAATCCATTGGCGGGTTATTCCATTAGGTACCGTTTGGTACGTGGGATGGGACGGAACGGAGTGGGACGAGACGTTCCGTCCCACGTTTGGTGAGCCTAAAACGGATGGAATGCGCTGTTCCACGGAACGAGTTTTGGGTGAATTTTCGTTCCGCCTCACCCTCCTGGAACCAGTGGCGAAGCTACGTAGGAGCGAAGGGGGGCGTTCGCCCCTCCGCTCGCCGGAAAACAAAGGCAGGAGCGACCTTTGAACCCCCCTAGTTCGGCCGGAAACTGGGGAGCCCCTGGTTCTGAAACCAGAAACAGATAGCTCTCGGGGAAGACGACCGGGAGGGATTTTTTTAAAATTTTAAAATCCAGGCCAAAACGACGTCGTTTTGGGCCTGGTAAAAAAAAAAAAAAAAATTTGGTAAACGACGTCGTTTTGGTTGAATGAAAAAAAAAATAATATAAACGGGGGACCACTGGTCCCCATCCATCCCCATCTCAATCCCCATTCTATTTCAAATTCCTTAACCCTATTCCCCATATCCCATCCCGTCAGTCTCCCCACCCCACCTTTTCCCCCCTTTTCCCCACCCCACACGACAAAACCTTCTGTCCTGTAGCAAATTTCACTTTCCATTGGCCGACACATCAGTCTGCAACTGCAAGCACATCTGCACAGCCACTCCAAATTCCAATTAAGGTAAAAAAATTAATTTATTTCAAACCCTAATTGATTATTGAATATAAATTTTTGTTTAATTGATGTAGGATTATAGGGTTATACATTATAATTATATGGTTATTGATTATAGATTATTCATATGAATGCTATGATTATTGATATTTTTTTTTTTGAAGTACATAAAAGAGGACTGATACATTATATATACATTAACATAATGAACCCCAATTCAACTAACTAAAACCCTCATTCAAATGCATTGTTGGTACTTATTAATTACATTCGTAGTCTACATACTCTACTGTAGAATAAAAATTGATTATTCATATGATATGATTGTTGGTACTGATTAATTAAATTCGTAGTTTACTCTAGGACTAAGAGTCTAAGATATATTTGTTTTTCTTTCGTTATACAGTTACGTAATGGAACGATATTATAAGAAACAGTGCTTAAATCCTTCTCCAAATATTCCGGATAGTCCTCCTCTTCCTTCAAATATTCCGGGTAGTCCTCCTCCTTCTTCTAGTATTCCGAGTAGTGCACAACAAAGTGAGATTACTGAGTTGGATGAAATATTAGCTAATCTTCCGGCAGACCCTGGACTGAGATGTCGAATGCTTGATTATCCACTCAATTGTCGTGAAGCAATTCGTAGATACTACCTTCAAAAGGAACCTTGTCAACCTAAGTCTCACATCATGCCAAGGAAAGCTAGCGACAATCGATGTTTTATTACAGGTTGGTTTGATAATTTTAAGTGGTTGGAGTATAGTATAGTAAAAGATGCTGCATTTTTCCGTTATTGCTATCTTTTTAAATGTGATTTTGATAAAGCGGGTGGTAGTGGAAGTGATGTCTTCACTACAAAAGGGTTTACAAATTGGAGGAAAGGACCCGAAAATTTTCGAGTCTACGAGGGAGGTGTTGGAAGTCTTCATAATAAAGCTATGCAACAAGCTAAAGACTTGATGACCCAAAAACAACACATTGAAACATTTGTGATCAAGCAAACTGATGAAGCTCGCGTTAATTATCACACTTTACTAAGTGGAGCACTTGATTGCACAAGATGGTTGTTGCGACAAGGTTTGGCTTTTCGTGGGCACGATGAATCTTTGAAATCGAGCAATAGGGGTAATTATATAGAGCTTATGCAATTTCTTGCCGATCATAATGAGAAAGTTAGAAAGGTTGTGTTTGAGAATGCTCCCAAGAATCTCAAGTATACTTCTTCCGATATTCAAAAGGATCTTGTTCGTGCTTGTGTTATTGAAACTATTAATGCAATCACTAAAGATATGGAAGGTAAATTTGTTTCTCTTTTGGTTGATGGATCACGTGATGCTTCCAATAAAGAGCAAATGGCGGTGGTATTGCGTTATGTGAACAAAAAAGGAGAAGCAATTGAAAAGTTTTTTGGTGTTCAACATGTCTCCTCTACAACTAGTAGCTCACTTGAAGAGGCTATTGAGAGATTGTTTGCTACAACAAATTTGAGTATGTCCAAGTTACGAGGACAAGGCTATGATGGAGCTAGTAATATGAGAGGTGAGTTAAATGGTCTTAAAACAAAGATTTTGAACAAATACCCTCAAGCATTTTATATTCATTGTTTTGCACACCAACTCCAACTAGCTCTTGTATTTGTGGCAAAGGAAAATGAGGATGTTGCCAATTTCTTCATCAATGCTAATAGATTGGTGAATCTTATTGGATCTTCGTGCAAGCGTTGTGATGCATTGAGAGAGAAACAACAAGAACAAATTCAAAAAGCTCTTTATCTTGGTAATCTTGAAACGAGTGAAGGGTTAAATCAAGAAAGTAGCCTCATGCGTCCATGTGATACACGGTGGAACTCGCATTATGGTACTATAGTTAATATTATTGTTATGTTTGAAGCCGTGGTGGAGGTGGTTGAATGGATTAAAAGTGATCGCAATCAAGATAATCTCGGTGAAGCTACTGGGTTATTCAAAGACATACAAACTTTTGATTTTGTGTTTCACCTTTTCTTGATGAGACTTATATTGGGAATTACAAATGAGTTATCACAAGCATTGCAAAAGAAAGATCAAGATATTGTGAATGCGATGGCGTTAGTGGAAGTATGCAAGCAAAGACTACAATCCTTGAGAGATGATGACTTTGGGGACTTGTTGCATGATGTAGAAAAGTTTTGTGAGAAGCATGATATTGTCATTCCTAACATGGAGGATTTGCATTTCGTACCTGGAAAATCAAGGCGTAAAGCTCCAAAAATCACAAACTTCCATTACTATCGTGTAGACCTCTATTTTCAAGTCCTTGATATGCAACTAAAGGAATTGAATGATCGCTTCAATGAGGTAAACACCGAGTTGCTTCTTTGTATGGCATGTTTGAGTCCAGTGAATAATTTTGCATCTTTTGACAAAGAAAAAATTGTTCGTTTAGCCCAACTTTATCCTCAAGATTTTGATCGTATGGACCTCATGAATCTTCTAATTCAACTTGACAATTACATTCAAGATATGAAGATGCATAGTGAGTTTTCATCATTGAGAGGAATCAGTGATCTTGCAAAAGAGTTAGTGAAGACTAAGAGGTGTGAAAGCTATATGTTAGTGTATAAGCTTCTTACATTGGCTTTGATGTTACCGGTTGCAACCGCTTCGGTGGAGAGAGCTTTTTCTGCTATGAAGATTGTGAAAACACCATTGCGTAATAAAATGGGAGATCAATGGTTGAGTGATAGCATGGTTGTTTACATTGAGAGAGATGTATTTGCTTTTATTGATAATGAGCCTATTATGCGACGTTTTCATGACATGAAACCTCGTCGACAACAATTGTAATTTGTTTTTATTGATTAATTATCGAAGACATTATTATATACAAAGATTTAGTTGTTGCTAATTTTTTTTAACCTTGCACTGTTTTAAATTCGCCCCTCCTCCCGAGAAATCCTGGCTTCACCACTGCCTGGAACGACTCGTTCCACATCCGTAGAACACAAAATTATAACATCTCGGTTTCCTTCTTCTTCCTCCTTGTTTCCATCTGAGGGCATCTTTACTCCCTCTCCGTTCCGTCTCGTCCTGTCCCGTCCCGTTTCTTCCCATCCCGTCTGTGTACCAAACGATACCTTATTGCTTGTGGAAGGAGGAAGGCAAGTGGCCCGACAAAAAAATAAATAAAAAAATTGGGGTCCGCCAGGCAGGCACACTCGGCCTTCTCTAAAAATTATAAAAAAAAATTTAAAAAAAAATCCATGTGGACCCATGTGTCGTCCAGTCATTGTCCACATGAGCGTTACGTCACATTTAACGGGAGACTTAACAGTTTGACTAACGGATGTATGAGACTGTCCCAAATTTTACACTTTAAGTATGATTCTAGGACGAAAAAATACTTGATATACTAAATGTTGAAAACCACGAAACATGAGGGTAATAAACAGAGATTTACCCTAAAAAATATATATTTATGAATAGTAATCGTCATCACCCTTGCCTTTCCACTTTTCAAATAGGTGAATTTGCACAAAGATAATTACTTTTCAAATAGGTGAATTAGGGTGTTTGTATATATTTGATAGGATAATACTTGGTATTTTTTAACCGAAACGTTCCTGCCAAGAACATGATCAACGATCATGATCCGGCCTTGCTTGTTTTTTTCTTTAATTGTTTTCTAGATCACGCTAGGTAGTCAAAGATATCAATTCCGGTGATGAAACTTGAAGCCATAGACTCCGATATTGGTGGGTAGAAAAATTCTAGGAAGAGCATATATGCACGTCAGTTGGACACTCAAGTCAAACATGCACAAAGATAATTACTTTTCAAATAGGTGAATTAGGGTGTTTGTATATATTTGATAGGATAATACTTGGTATTTTTTAACCGAAACGTTCCTGCCAAGAACATGATCAACGATCATGATCCGGCCTTGCTTGTCTTTTTCTTTAATTGTTTTCTAGATCACGCTAGGTAGTCAAAGATATCAATTCCGGTGATGAAACTTGAAGCCATAGACTCCGATATATGCACGTCAGTTGGACACTCAAGTCAAACATGCATACCACAGAAAAATCCAGAGACTTGTTAACCTTTTCGTGCTAATTAAGCTAGACCAAAGGTCATCAAGTCTGATTTTCATTAAAAAACAAAGTCAATTTACCGCTTTCTTCTTACATTTTATAGCTTTATTTTATTTTATTTTTAACAACCGATATTATCTTCATTAAGGAGGAGGGGGATGAGTTAGTAATAATGTGGTTTAAATTCGTCTTTGGCGAGAATCGAACCTAAGACCAATTACTTACAAGTGAAGAGAAATATCACTAAACCGTAATAAGTGACATTTTATAGCCTTTTCTTATCTAAACAAATATAAAATGAAGCGTGCATGATTATTAGTTGTTATGTATCTATATTATCTATTAATAAAATTTTCTTTGTAAAAAATGTCTAGATTGCAATGCATTAAGATGCCATGTCCAATAATAAATGTGTTCCTGGTGGGTCTAGCTATCGTAAGTGTTCTAGTGTAAGCAACAGCGATTTCACGATTTTAAACTCGAGGGGTCCCAATAATAAAGGTCAAAAAAATTATAGATAAAAATAAATTTAAAAGTTAAATTATAATACATTTCATTCATAAATTATACGCATAACAACATTATAAGCTATAAATTCTAATTTGCTTCCACGACGAGGTTTCATAGTCTGAAAATGTTCCATGATAGCTTCACTACCAATATATGAAAAAACATATCTCTCAACGTAAACAACTAAGTGTCGCTCAACAATGTTTTGTAGGCCTACAAGGTCCCATTTGCAAATATGCTCTTCAGAACTCATCTTGAATATTAGGAGGATAGTCCTTCAGTCGAATTTTGAACCAAATGGTGGTGGTGTGGGAAATTTGAAACAAATTAAGGTATGACATTGGAGTAAAATCAAAATATGAGATTGGATGGGTTTTTAGAATTTTAGGGTTTTGGAAATTGGGAAATTGGGGATTGGATGAATATGTGAAAATGGCCTTTGGGATGGGGAAGGGATGAGGAAGGTAATTTTAGAAAAATTGTTTTTGGGTTTCAAAACTACTCAAAAGTGTTTCATGCAAGAAACACATAGCTACTCAAAAGTGCGAATCCTTTCAAATTTGCTTAAATTCCAAACCGGCCCAACCGCAGTCAACCTGTGAGTTGTTAACACGACATTATCCTACTTGCGTATCATTTCAAATTTGCTTAAATTCCAAACCGGCCCAAGCCCAACTACGGCCCACTTTTGCTTCAAGTTGGACTGATGAGCAAAAATCCAAGTATAATTCCGGCCTATAACCCAACATTAAAAGCTCAAGCCTCTTAAGAATGCTCCAAACACCAAACTCAACCAGGGTTCAAATCCAGCCGCACAACAGCTCCACGTACCAACCAACAGTCCAGATTATTCCTCCCAATCACATCCGACGGCTTGCGGTAGATCACAAAGAACAGGGGTTAGGGCGTTTTCTCCGTCTCTCGTGATCTATTCGTTTAATCAGATCGGTGAATTTAGGGTTAGGGTTTTGAATTGTATGGAGATGGATTACGTGTCGGAGTTCCCTCTTTCACACATTGATCGGCGTCCAAGAAAGCGCCCCAGGTTTGCTTGGGACCCCCCTCAGCCTCACCCAAAGGTACACTTTTCACCCTTTATTTCATCAAATTTCTCAAAATTGTGGTTTTTTTTTTCCGTTTATTTAGGCTTTAATTTGTTTATTTTATTCATTCAATTAGGTTTTCAATTTTGAATTCATCCCAATTTTTCTTCGTTTGTGTGGTAAATTCGACTGGTTAGGAAATAATTTGAGGGTAGAAGATAGAAATGATTCCATTTTCCAAACTTCAGATCTCTTAGCTTTCTTGGATAATTTTAATGATTCCATTTTCCAAATTTCATGATCTCTTAGTTTTCTTGGATAATTTTGATCTTATCTAAAATATTGCCTCAGACAAACAACAACAACAACAAAGCCTTTTCCCACTAAGTGGGGTAAAAATATTGCCTCAGACATGAATTAATATTGTTTGAGGAAATTTAATTTTATAAGTAAATAATTTGGAATTGAATTACTGAATTGTTAGTATTTTCATGACGAAGCTCGAAATTTTTGTTATTCGGGTGTTATAATTTGCATACATTGATTTTCTGTTTGGTTGATTAGAAAAGATGAGGGAAAATGTTAGAAATGAATGATAGATGGGTAAGGGGTGAAGTTTTTGTATTAATGTTTGTATAGTGGAGTATGAATAAATGGCTGTGTGTAGGCTCAGTCAGGAATATATTATGAGCAAGATGTTGGAAATGGGACAAGCTTTGGACCTACGAGAGTACTCCCAGACCATCCTAGTGTTTTTGTAAAGGGGTTGACTCAAAAAGGCTCTCCCCCGCGGCGAGATGATGACAAAGATGGACATTACATGTTTGCGCTTGGAGAAAATTTAACATCTCGCTGTAATTACGTTCAATCACCATTGAAGAGTTTTTTCTTTTACATTCTTCATGTGTCTTTTTTATGCTGTATTTTAAACTTTCATAACCTAATAAATCACACTGATGTACTTCCAACTTTTTCATTTTTTTACTCAACGGTGTATTTCCAATAAAATTATTCACATAGAAAATCTACTTACAAGTAAAAAGTTCTAGGACCTTTACTTTGGACTTTAGGGTTGCTCTAGAATTTGAAAATATATGTATATATCTAAAGTGTTGAATCTTTCCTTATGGTTTATTCTTTTCCTTACTGTAAAAAGTTCTACTTACAAGTAAAAAGTTCTAGGACCTTTCCTTATGGTTTATTCTTTTCCTTACTTTGGACTTTAGGGTTGCTCTAGAAACTAGAATTTGAAAATATATGTATATATCTAAAGTGTTGAATCTTTCCTTATGGTTTATTCTTTTCCTTACTGTGTTCGTTACCTAGGATCTATCTTGCAAAAGAACGGAGAATTAGATGGAGATCTCAACCATAGAATACAAGCTGGATGGATGAAGTGGAAGAGTGCATCCGGCGTGTTGTGTGACCGCCGTATGCCACTGAAGCTCAAGGGAAAATTTTATAGGACGGCAATAAGGCCGGCAATGCTGTATGGCACAGAATGTTGGGCGGTGAAACATCAACACGTACACAAAATGGGTGTAGCGGAGATGAGGATGCTTCGTTGGATGTGTGGGCACACGAGAAAGGATAAGATTAGGAATGAGGATATCCGGGGTAAAGTAGGAGTAGCCGAAATTGAAGGAAAGATGAGAGAAAATCGGTTACGGTGGTTTGGACATGTGCAAAGAAGGCCTACTGACGCTCCGATTAGAAGATGCGACTATGGGACAGAGGTTCAGGGCCGAAGGGGTAGAGGAAGACCTAGGAAAACTTTGGAAGAGACTCTAAGAAAAGACTTAGAGTACTTGGATCTAACGAAGGACATGACACAGGATCGAGCACAATGGCGTTCTAAGATTCATATAGCCGATCCCACTCAGTGACTTGGATTTTCCAAGTCTCCAACCAAGAAGTTTTCCTCATTCGGGAAATTAAGGGAACACTACCCCAACCTACATGCTCCACTCAGAAAGCTTCAACATACAAGCTTCAACAAAAGAAAATTCAAAGAACTTAGCGAAGAAGGCTTTTGGTGTATTTAACACAATACGTTGAAATGAAGGAAAGCTTATTTATTGATATCCCCGATAAGCTACAAATATGTACATATACATGAGTCAAAATAAACACACAAGAGGGAGCCTTCACAAAGGTTGCTTAGGAGAAGTCTCAGCAGTCGGTAGAGCCCCAGAAAGAGAAGGCACCGGAGGGGGATCATTTGGAGCCTCAGTACTGGACAGAACCCTAGAAGGAGGAGGCATCAGAGGTTGATCATTTGGAGCTTCATTACGCGGTACAGCCCCAGAAGACGAAGGCAATAAATGCCTTTGGAACAAACCCACAAATCTCTGATGATCAAGTAAAACCTGACCATCAGTTTCCTTCATCTGGTCAAGCTTCCTCTTCATGTTTGTAGCATAGTCATGTGCGAGCCGGTGCAACTGTTTATTCTCATGCTTGAGCCCTCTAATCTCCTGTTTGAGACTCATCACTTCAGCCGCCAATGATTCAACTTGGCGGGTTCGAGCAAATAGGCGTTGTGCCATATTAGACACAGAACCTGCACACTGAACACTGAGAGCCAGCGAATCCTTAACAGCTAACTCATCAGACCGTTTGGAAAGTAGTCTGTTATCTTTGGGAGTGAGAAGGTTCCTGGCCACCACCGCAGCGGTCATATCATTCTTCATCACGGAATCCCCAACGGTAAGAGGACCAGTTGGGGAGACGAAGGATGGGCGCCATATGTTGTCTGGAGAAGGCGGGGCTGCCTCTTCAACAAGGTTCAAGTCAAAACGACGGTCGGAGGGGCCAGACATTTTCAAAGGTGTTGAAGAGAGAAGAGGTCGGACAAATCAAGATCTTAGAAGTGCAAGAATGAAGCTTCTACTGGTGGAGATTCAAGTGTGCTTTGGAACTTAATGCCAGCCCCTATAAAAATCTGCACTCGACGGAGCTTCAGAAATCAAAGAGGCGCCTGCTCAGAAATCGAAGAGGCGTTTGCTTTCTCAAAAGTTGGGCTGCTTAGAGATCACGAGGGTTGATCTCA